AGCAGGAGGCAGCTGCACAAGCAGAGTAACACCTCCATCTACTGGCTGACTGAGGCACCGTTAAGAAAGCACGGAAAAGAAAAAGCAGCCGAATAAAATTTTCAAATCACATGTCATCACAAACACGACTTAGAACAACAAATGTGATCAGCAGACACACTGCTGCTCACCCTTCATCTGGAAATAAGCTTCCATATCACTACATTACAGTGCAGGTCATAAGTAAAAAATTTCAGTAAACCATAACATACATAATTCACCTTGGAAATTGCTTCATTATATATTAAATCTTCTCAATTTAACCCCCTCTAGTAGAGCTCAGCAGCTTTTCTCAGAGATTTTTAGACTTTAAAAACAAGAAACATGTGGCCCAGATGTGCAAGCGATTTTTGGTCTTTTTTGGATTCAAAAGTGATTTAAATCAAACAAACCAGAGCAATCCAATTAAAGCAGCATTACCAATGTTCAACCCAAACACCAACTGCTACACTTCTCTCTTTCTCACCTTTCTAATAGCAGCATTGTTTAATTTTTTAATTATTATTTCTTTACTTCTAGCACTGTATTAAGAAACAGCCACTTAGAGCATGCAGAGACCCATTGAGCATGAGGAGGCGGCTATAAGACAAAAGTCTAGTCTAGACTTGGGTGGAACCTTCTTCTACACTGGGCATCTCACATCACTTCACAGACCTTAGATGCCTAAGGTCTGTAACAGCAGAGGAATTGCTGCGGATTTCAGTGGGGACTGTAAATAAACTTTCTTCTACTTAACTGTAGAATTAAACTAGTATCTCTCTCTTTGGTAAGGAGAAAGCCACACTTGGTTATGTTTACCATAACTGCCTACCTACAGCATCCACCAAACAAAGAACTGATTCTGAGCTAGGATCTTAGAAAATGTGTTCATACAGAGATATGCCTAATCAAATTGCAGAAGAGGAACTCTTAGGAATAGATAATGAGTTGATCACAATGGTAATGTTTACACAGAGATAAGAACTCACCAAGGAAAAGAGAAACAGCAGAAATTGAAAGATTTGTCATCAACTGGATGACACGTGACTGAGGATGAGAAAAACAAAACCAAGGCAGGGTAAGGAAAAATCATGTAGAAAGATAACAGGCGTCCGATATTGCTTCCATAAAAGCAAACAAGGAGATGGAAGACATATCTAAGACACTTAGAGATGCAGCCTTTATGTGCATCTGGACAACAATGCAAAACACAGAGAAACTATATGTCACTGGCCTGGAGAAGAGAAGGCTCCCAAAAGACCTTATAGCAGCCTTCCAATACCTGAAGGGGCCTACAAGGAAGCTGGGGAGGGACTTTCTACAAAGGCAGGTAGTGATAGAACAAGGGGAAATGGCTTTAAGCTGAAAGAGGGCAGGTTTAGGTTAGATATTGGGAAGAAATTCTTCACTGTGAGGGTGGTCAGACACTGGAACAGGTTGCCCAGAGCAGTTGTGGATGCCCCCTCGCTGGAAGTGTTTAAGGCCAGGTTGGATGGGGCTTTGAGCAACCTGGCCTAATTGAAGGTGTCCCTGGTGATGGCAGGGGGGTTGGAACTAGATGATCTTTAAGGTCCCTTCCAACCCAAACCATTCTATGATTAGAGAAATAACCACAACTAACTAATTAACGAAGTTAGAAAGGACCTGGGGAGAGCTGGGTAACATGGAAAAAAAAAAAAAGGAAAAAAACCCCACAACAACAGGTATTCTTGTCATAAAGGAGGTCTGTTTTAGCACCAGAAATGTTAGTACAAGCCATGACACCAGACATCAAAGGGCAGAACAGAAGGTGAGAAGGTGGTAGAACATCAATGACAGAAAGCTACTGAAGGGTCCAAGAAAGACACATAAAAGCTATTCTGACAAAGGAACATCAGGAGTTAATGATACAAGGCACCAGAATGGAAAAAAAAAAAAAAAAAAGTAGGGTACTATAGATAAAAACTGATTTGAGTCAAAATCATTTTGGAAAAAGAGCATAAAGGGACAGAGAATGAAATTCCAAATATTGTTTGAGGGGAGAACATTCCTCAGAACTATGTTACTGTGAGAGCTTATATCTATGATGTTCAATCACAGAACAAACACTGCTTAGGATGGTGCTTCCACATATTCCCAGAGGTGGAAGCAGGCAGATTTCTTTTACAACAGATGATCTCTGAACTGACAGAGGCAATATTACTTCAGATACTGATTTGGTAATTAATGAGAATGTTACAGAAGAGTTGCTCCCAGAAAATAACTCCAGGTCAGGAAAACATAAACGAAGTGATTTTAATTGAAACAGAAAGAAAATAATTAAGGAACATCTTGTTACTAATTTCTTGAATGCTAAAGGGCAAGTTTAACAAATGAAAAGAGCTGGTAATTGAAGTCAAGAGTATTCTGAGGTCTTCAGCTCCATTAAGTCAAATGTGTTACAACTACCAAGAACCTGTAACTTTAGCTGTGGTGAGGAACTACAAAAGGTTCCAAATCCAGATGGGTGAACCTGCACTCAAAAGAAAATTTTTCAGATGGTTTAAAGTCGGGAAGCATTTAACTAACAATGCTCCTCATGCAAATTTGAATAACCTAGCACCTCAGACAGCAAAACTTTATTACCATCTCTCTACAGTAGCAGACTGTAGAAAGATGGTAATTAAACCCAAACTAGCAACAGATTCACAATAGCAAGAGACAATTTTTATGAACAGCATCAACACAGCAGTGGAAGGATGCAAGGGAGGTTATCTGAAAACAGTGGCAGCCCTGTTTTCAAGAAGCATAATCTAGCACATAGCAAGTCTCTGACAGTGTGCTGGCCTTGGGTTAGCTACATACTACATGTATTTTACCATGTAAAAAGTTATGGCGATGCCTCATGTAAAATGTTGTACAAAATTACAGTCAATTTGGTTGAAAACATGACAAATTGACAATGGAAGTGGCAGGGAAGGGCTGTCAGAAGAATGACAGGAATGGAGACTCAATGCTGTGCGGTGAGCACTGCTTAAACAAAGGCTAGCAAAAGCCATAGCCACTCTCTGAATGCACAACACATGTAAAGAAAGGCAAAAGAAAAGAGCTATTTAAGCTTGAATAACTGTTTAAGAGCTCTCACTGTTAAGCAATTTAAGCACAAGTAAGAAAAGAGGTACAAATGTAAATACTTCAGAAGGTTTCTACCGTTAGTGAGATTCTAAGACAGCCTGTTAACACAAGCCAAGACAAGAAAGAAGAAATTCACCTTGCATTAAGTTGGAGTGTGACCAGCCTACAAAAAGGGGTTATGCAATATAGTTTCTGCAATTGCAGAATAAATCATTTGTTAATTCAGCCTGCCAACGAAAGAAAGTCATACTCATTCGAGCACCAAGAACAAGCCTTAAAGTGAATTAGCAAATCCTATACATGGGTATCAGACTAACAAAGACAGATTACCCATGGACTGGCATCCCTTTATCCCTGCTAACTCCTTCACCTCCATAAATTCCCTGGCCTCAGCCCCTTTAACACCATCAATCACATCTCTTTCCAATACATAAGCCAATTATTTTTATAGACTTTTGAAACTTTTACCTATCTGTTAAACCTGTCTGGAACTGGAAAAAGAGTCCAAATGGCAGGGGAGAATAGAAGGCACAAAATGTTAATGGATGGTGCAGTCAGACAAGTTGTGATCTGCTGTTGCCTTACAGGTGAGTACGCTGAATTGCATCTTGCTCAAGACCATACAGAGTACTTGGCAGAGAGAAATACAGCATTCAGCTGTGAAACAATCCAGTGTTGTTACTATTAAGATAACGATTCTAAAAGCAAAGAGGGAAGGGAAAAAACTAAGAAGCTACATAAACAAAATTCTGTCACATTAAATAAGCCAGTGTTATATCATACTTCAGCAAGACAACAGCTTATAGTAAATGGCTGTGAGAAATCAATAAGGCTAGTACTTATTAAATCAGCTGCAGGCTGAAAATCTAATGCCTATTAACTTGCAGTCAGAGAAAAAACTATTTGTGTCACTATTTACTACTCTTCACAACTCAAGAAAACAAGAGTCACACAGAAAAACAGATTACTATCAGAAACATCCTATGTATCCTAGGTGGGTGAGATCCCACATGTGAACCATTGCAAAAAAACAACACAACTAAGTTACTCTTTCTCCAGACCCTTACCAGTTTTACTTTAGAGGCCAGGCTCTCTGGTAGTTTTGTTCGTAGCTGATTTGTTTCTTTGAATGTAGCCGGAAATCCACTCAGGAAGGCCAAGTCTTGCATTAATACTAGACCTGGAACTTCTTTGTCTGTCGTCTAAAAACAACAAAACAGGGTATAAAGACTTCTTTAAACTTACAGTAATTCATATTTATCTGTTAATTTTTCATCAGGTGACAGATTTAATAGTGTATATTTTGTCACTTAACACAAACTTCAAAATTGAAATAAGGGTCATTTTAAAAGCTTTCACTTCTTACTACATACAAGTTATGGAAAGAGAATAGCAGAGAAACACTTTATAAAAATGTGCAAAAAGTTAAACTTACACAAAAGCTAATCAACAGATTTTAAGAGTACATACCAAGTAACCTCTCCATACAATCTGTTTGCTGTTGTCTTTTAACATTCCAGAATGGGCAGCTTCAACTAGAATAAATAAAATGCATTGCAAATAAAAAACTGAAAGTAACTTCTTCTGTATATTACAGAAACTAAGATATACTTTTGCAAATTAAAAAAGATTTATATTTATGGTTTGAAGAGTCGTCTTTATAACTGGTAAATAATCCTTAGTGGTAAAATAAACACCAGTGGTTGGTAGTGGCCAGGCACTACATATTAAACAAAATAAGAAGCCCATACCTGCTCTAAGATCCTACTTACATATGCTGAGCACATGGATAATTTTGCTTTAAGGTATGCAATCCTTTAAGCAAGGACAGAACTTATTGCACAATACTCCAACTAGGCTTCACAGCAATTAAAAGATTTCTAAAACTAACCTTGCTCAGTCTAAATCCCAGTCTTCTGAGATTACCAGTGCAACACAGATATTCAGATTTCAAACCTGTTTCGCAATAGTCTTTTAAAGCATGGTACTCTAATCATCTGTAATCAGTTGTCTGGGAGGTAAGCAAACAGTATCATCAATGTCATCATTTAGAGGAACAGACTGAGGTTGAGTAAGACACTGAACTACTTGCTAAAGTCAAACAGAAAATTAGTGGCAGAGCCACATTTTTTCCCATTGCAGGGAAAAAAAAAAATCACACACTAGCTTATTAAAAAGCTTCCTCTAGAAAACTCACTAGAATCTGACAAATAGGTTCTTACCATCCTTAGGGCTATCAAAAACAATCACTGTCACATTGGTAGAAGGATTTTTTGGTTTTGCTACAAAGAACATATTGCTAGCAGCTTGTAAAGCAGGATGAACGGACAGCAGGTCTTTCAGTGTGACGTTGGTAGGCAGCGCAGGATCCAGGACAAGCATTGGCACTTTGATGCAGTGTGTCAGCAAACACTCCAGTTGCTTCTCACTACAGCAAAATACCAAAGGTATATTTAACACTAGTAGAAAATTTGAGACAAAAATCAATGTTAGATGCAACAAGGGATGTTTTTGTAAAAGCTGATCAATTATTTCTAACATCTGCTGGGGCAGGGTGAAATTACCAAGAGCATGCTTAGTTTGCTGCAGATGGCGATTTTCTGACTGTTACAGTTTAGTTCATTCCCACAACTGTTTTTTCAAAAGTTTCCAAGATTTCAAAGTTTGCCCACAGAAGAGACCTTACAAAGATCTCTAAATAACAGAGTAACCAAGACAAACAAAGAATGTGACAGTCCAGGCCCTGCAGCTTTCTGGCAGCAGAGGCACAAGAGGTCCCTGGTCCCTCCACAGAGAATTACTTGCAGTGCACACATACAAATGGCAAGTAAAAGCAACACTGAAAAAATGTTCAAGCTTTTGAATTATAAAACTCCAGGTACATATATATTAAAAATTGACACTCTGAATAGGAACTATGCCTAATTAGTGACAAAGATATGCTTTCTGAACTACAGAAATTGTCATATCTTAAGAAGCTCATTCATAAATGTCACAACAACATTACTTCTAATCAACATCTATACTATCATGCTGTCAGCTTTTCTAAAAGTGACATAGAAGGAAGGGAAGCACATGCTACAGAAAACCAAACAACCCCCCCAGCCAGCATCTGCTTTCAACTAACAATAAGTATGATATAATTTATTCCATTTATGCCCAAAACTACAAAAACTCACCTCTTCTTTGTTGGTTCTGTTGCATTCTTTCCAAGGATTTCCCTATTACAAAATTAAAACAACTACATTGAATAACACTGAGTTGACAGTAAGGAATTTAGTCTAATTTCAGATTGTTAATTGAGTCAGGGACACATGAAAGCACCAATAACTCAGTGATAAAACTGCCAAGGTGAGCACAAGCTGACACACATGCCCCTCACTGCTCACTCTTGTGCAGCTCAAAAATTCTTGGTTGTGCTGAAAATTGTGGCAGTAGGACTCTTTTTGCTAACAGGATTTTCAGGGGTTATTATTAGACACTTAATGAAACTGATGTTGATAACGAAAAACACTGGTAAGAAACCAGGGTGACTTGATTATTTTGCCTAACATACATATTCTGATAAGGTCTAGCATGTATTTGCAGTGTGCATGTATAAGCTAATGAGGATTAATGTAAAGGCAGGGCAGTGCTGATGATAAATAATAATCAAAATAGCACCCATCAAGCTACTATCTCCCACTGAAGAATAAAGCACCTGGACTATGACTAGCTCAATTCAGGCCCATCAACAAGAAAGTTACAACGTTTTACTATGCAATACACAATATACACTCATCAGCAGAGATTTACAGCATCCTTGTTTTTGTCTTCTGCAGTTATCTTTTGATCCCATGAAACAGCTTTTTGTTAACAGTGCTAACTGATTGCAAAGTACAGGAAAAAAGTTATCTACAAGGGAGAGAAGGAGGTGCCCCTGTAGATAATGAACATGGCATGGACATGAGTCTTACTCATAAGCTTGGTATTAACTTTTCAGATCAGCATTAGGGAAAAAAAACAGTATGAGTTTTCCTCTTTGTAAAATGGGAATGACATTTTACAATGGGATGAGTGAGTGATGACAAAGCTAAAAGCTCTTAACATTTGCTATATGAACTGCTAGGAAAAGATTAGTAAAATTTGGAAGCTTTTCAGAGGAGAGAACACATCTATGTTTAAGATGTTTAAACATAATGGATTTAAAGTTCTATTAGTACTTTCATTGTTTAGGTAGCAAAATAAAGATCCAGAATTTCACTTGTGATCACATTGTCAGTGGTATCTAAATTGCAAGTCATAACATATTAAAAATCAGATCAATCCGCTCACTTGTGGTTTTCAGATTATTTTGAATTAAACTTTTACAACCCTGAATATACAGACTGGTTCTTCGATTCAGCATCTCCTCTGGCCAAAACAGATCACATGATCACAGAGTTGCTTATGCAGAACTGAATCAATGGTTAAAAGACATAATCCAAGATATCTGCAGCAGCCTGTGCTCGAAGCCTTAGATCAGTAATTTTGCAGGATAGTACGGCACAGTCTCTAACACCAAATGCAGCAATATATGTCTTTCCCTCCTTAGTTTCCCTCCTGACGCATCCCTTTATAACATGAATAAATTATTTCCTCTCAGTTTCAGTGTTTGGGAGACTACTAACTTTAAAAAGGAGCCTTTAAGAAATATATGCTTAAGATTTTATTAAGCCATTATAAAAAGAAATATTGAGGGGGTGGGAGAAGAAGGGGATGAAGAGAGGTTACACATTTGAGATATAATTTTTTATTATTAATTACAAACTGTGTTACAGAAATCAATACAAAATGACATACACAAGCCACAGTTTTCTGCATAGCATTTTAAAAATTCAAGACAGAACAGCCTTAATTACTTTAATTTATTATGCTTTATATCTTAAGCAGTTACCTGATTAGACAGTACTGTATAGCTAAACATAGAACTGAAACAAGGTTTTGAGAATAATCAAATGAAGTGAGAAAACGCACTTTGAACTTTCACATTAAGTAACATGTGAGAAAAACAAAGAGGACTAGTACTGCATTAGATTGCTGCTGCTGGTTAAAGGGAAAAAACCACATAAGATTATTACCTCATTATTTTCTGTTCTTCCTCCATCTGTTCTCTGACCTGTTGCAATTCTTTGATCAGCTCAACATCTGTGCCGTTCACCCAGGTGTATACCACATCAATTGGCATGGGTAAACAAAGCCTATGTAATTCAAATGAAAGCTACATGAGCTGTTTAATATTACATAAGTGTTTGTGGCGTCCTACGATAGCAATTTCTATCTACAACAGAGATACTTGGTGTCTGGGCTGCAAACAAAACAAAGCAAAAAGCTTCTCTTTAGCTACATATATAATCTCTTAATTATACACAAGCTTTTGACAAAACAGCACAGACATAAAACTGAAAAGGACATAAAGTAGCTATACCAGTTCAGTAACTAAATGAAAACTGAACTTTATGTTACTTCACTGTGAACATTTAGTTACTTCACTGGCATTAACCTATAACCCAACTCCTTTGAACCCATAAAATATTTCTCAAATCAGTACCAGCATCCAGGCACATCCTTAATTCACCAATTACATTACACAGGACAGTACGAAATATAAAGACTTAAATCATATTTGCTGTTTAATTGCACAGAGACTGTAAGATCTCAGCAGGACCAGCTCTTTATCCTAGGAGTGCCTCTTAGATATTACTAACAGGGCAATTCATAAACCAACAACCTAAGTACAGTACATGAATTCGGACTCTAGACACAACAGCCAAATTCATTCTTGACATAATTTAATATCCTGGAGCTGTTTCTGGACAGTTACAGATTTCCTAGCATACCTAAGACGAAAAGAAAAGGGTTTGGGTAACTTTTATTTGTTTCTGATAATCTCCTCCTCAAGGCTTTGTTTCAGTGGGTACTCCAGGCTCCTCCATAGATGAACCTCTCAGTCCCAGACAGCAGCAGGATGCCCTAACTATTATTTTCAAAGTTCCAGTGTCAAAGCTATTCAATAACTTACTAAACTGTAGACAGCCCAGTAAACATTGACCATCTCTCTAATGCTAAGATTCATGGGGTCACACAATGGGGTTTCCAAGGAAAGGTGTTCCCTCTCCACCCACTGCATCTTTCAAAAAGTATCTAAAAAGAGAGAGCTTACAGGTGAGTATCTCCTCCACCTTCCCTTGCACAGTATGACATGCAGACAACTTCAACCCAGCTTCATTTTCTACTGCCTGAGATTCAATAACTAAAGTACAAAATTTAGTAAAAGGGCAGCCAGTAGCTGGTCACAGCACAACAGACAGAACATCATCTACTGAATTCATCACTGTTCCTAACTGAGCTACAACACTTAGAGGGTAACAGTGGGTCATTCTGACAGTCTGAATGTCTAAGAAGCACTGCCTTTCCCAGCAACACCACCCAGAAAGTCTCTCACCTCTGACACGCCTCTGCAGGAGGCTACCCTCTCAACTGGCTAAAAAGTAAATTTACTGAATACAAATACCCTTCTAATCAGTTATTTCATCTCTTTCTCAGGAGATGACACTAGCTTCTGGTTCATTAACAGGTGCAACTCAAGGCACGTTTTGAATCAAAAAGTCCTCCACAGGAGTAGAAATTCAATGGCAGGAGCTCTTCCAGCTTTCCTACATTTGTTATGATCAGTTAAATTACTGGATCAACAGTTCTTGAATGCTACAGCTAGGGCAAGAATGTTTTAGGTGGAAGCACCTGATTCAAGTCAGCTGATTTAAAAAATGCCCAACCCTTAGTCTTCTGGGCAAAGGGCAGAATTTATTTACCCAGGCTTCACTGGAGAACATAAAATGTCAAAAAAACCCCAACAAAAACACCTCAACTCCAACTCTTTCTTGGGTACGGGGCAATTTTGACTGCAGTGAAGCCTCTCCCTAATTTATCATTTGCTAAAAGTGTGTTTCTATGCAACAGCACATATAACTATGTAATTTGCTACACTTAATTTTTAGCATTGAAATTATGTCACATACAGCCAAATGCTAATAAACTCCATAGAGGAAAGGCATTTTTAGTCAGATGCAGGTATGTCAACTCTGAACTAACTCTCACAGCAAGCTCATTCTTTATTACCAATGGAAATACAGACAAGGGGAAAAAAAGGCTCCTAAAGCAAGAGAACTGTTTGCCAATTCACTAGTTCAATTGCTTAAAATTTATCCAAATACTCAGATAACTTTTCTTAGTGCATTTTCACAGCATTCATTGTTTGAGAAAGCAGTGGTTATCAAACATAATAATAAACAGATATCATACACAAATTAATTTGTTGCTCCCAATTAGAATCAGTAACACTGTTAAGATTTCACCTTTTTGGTTTCTGACAAAGCTTTCTGGTTGGTTTCATGGCTTCTTAAAAAGTACTGTCAGTTTATATTTTGAAAAGCATGTAGTGGCATGTTGCTTTAAAATTAAAAAGGAACAGGAGAGCCACTTCCGCATTATCCTTCTCAAACACCATTTTTAATATGCAGAGACTTTTGCAAATTAGTCAAGGTCAGAATAGATCAAAAGCTTTCTCCCTCAAATTCTGTAGCTGCATTTCTCCTTCATGTGGATTTATACATTTGGTCTTCATCACAAATATCAATCTGGCAAAGAGATTAAGCCCAAGATGAGCTGCCTAAATGGGAATTATGTAACACCTTTCTACAGAAAATCCTCCATTTTCTCATTTGCTGCTGATTTTAATATCAGCAAACACGGACTTTGGAAACCTCCATGGAGACTCCCAAACAATTAGTAAGTTGAGGTTTGTTTTGCATACTCCTTTACATTTTATTCTTTCAAAAAAACCCCATTTTTTACTTGCTAACCTAAAAACATCAATAAGATCCTGCTTGAAGACAAAGCCAGAACCATGAGCTCTTCCAGAAAGGACAGAAGACCTGTCACCTGCTGCCTCTTCCACGCACCTGCCAGGAAGCATTTTCCATATGCATAACGTTTGTTTACATACAAGAGCCATGCTCACAGTGGAGACTGCTGCTAGAAGACAAAGCCTCATTGTCTCGGTGCCCACTGTTGCTGAAGGAGTACCACAGCCTCTGGATCTCTCCCAAGCTCCCATACAGCGATTTCCAACCTTGCTGAGCCTCTTCATGAACAAGTGTAAGTCTAGCACACCCTTAAGCTCCTCACTGTAAATCTCCCAGCCCTCCTGCCTGTTACATCTCTGCAATTACCCACCAACGGCGACTCAGCTGTTCCACTGCTATTCCCACTCCAGTATCTCTTGGTTCCTTAATTTGTGCATCTTCTCTCTGGCCTCACTCTGCTCAGCAGTTAATGGCTCCCCAACCACTGACAGCTCTCACTTGCTGTACCATACTGAAATCAGCCTGTACATTTTAAAAGCTGAGGATTGTTCCTTCACATTTTGTTTCCATACATAATTTGGAGTTTCAAATATGACTTGGCCATGTCCTGGAATAGCAAAATTACACTTCAGCGTTTGCCAAAATGCAGAATTTGCTGGTGACAAGTAATAAAACAGAGTTCTTCTCCAAGACTCTCATACATGCAATGCCATTATGTGGTTTCCTTCTCTCCCTTTTATTTTCATACCAAAACTAAGTCTTCAAAAATGGGTTTGGATGAGGTGGCCTGGTAAAAAGCCCCAGAATTTCTACTCCACTGTCTCAAGCCACTTAAGAGCCTGGGCAATGTAAGTAGGAAGTTTATCAGCCGATATGACTACCTGGAAAATGCACCTGGGATGCCAAAGGGCATGCAACAGGAGGGAAAAGCAAACCGAAGCAATTGCTAAACTTCAAGGTAAAACAAGAAGTCTTCCTTGGTCTGGCAGAGAACAGTGTTCAACAGGTGTAACTAATGATGCTAGCAACATCACTGTTTAATGTTACTCAGGAAGAAGAGCTTTTTGAGTTTGTAGTTAAAAGGAGCTTGCTCGCATTCACAAATTTGTCTAATTTTTACACTGAGATTTTCTTTATAAAAGTTTATACCACAACTGTTTGACAAGAACAGAGACATTTTACTGAAAAGCTCCTAGAAGATTACACTACTTCAATTCAGTTGAAGGTCCATTAATATTTCTTAAACACCACACAGCTTTTACTTTCCATTAAGCAGTGGATCTGCTTAATTTCCAATCCAACAAACTACCTGTTCTCCAATTCTGAGTATTTTTCTCTAACAATAAAACAAGAACTTATTAAAATCAATGGATAAAGTAGGATCAAAACTGGAAGTCCACAATCCTCAGTTTATGTAAAAACCATGTGACACCCTACATGTTGCATTGATACCAGCCTTAAAAACTCCATCAAACCACCACTGATAGAGTTCATACTGTGAGAAGGGGTCCATTGCTGCACTCGTGAAGTTCAGTATTAAAAACAAACGGACAAGAGACTTCTAAAAGCTAACAGACACCCAGAAGTATGTCTCCACAAAGACTTTTTGTTGGTATGATTTTTACGGGAAGTTTGTATCTGTAAACAAGTATCATAACAAACTTCCCTGTCAGACCCAATATAAAAGTATGAAAGGCATATAGGGGAACTGGAAAAACTTAAGCACCCATCATGAAAACCTTCAGCTTTTGCTCAGGCAGATGATAGTTCCTCCCCAGGCACTGGATTTTTTGCTTATAATTCACAGAAATCTATACTAGCTACAGAGTGCTTTACACATTTCTGCATAACAGTACAGTACCTACATCACAACAGTAAGATTTGTGATTTTGTTTAGGACAAACTTGACAATTTTATAAAAGCACTGTACCTAATTATCACAAAGTCAGGCATGTGAGTACTGACACGAACAAACTACCATGTTTTCACCTCAGCACTGCAGAAACACGTAAACATTAAGTTAATCATCCATACGAGCTGTATCACTCTGCTTTCATAAGTCTCCCTTTGGAAAATGAGGGAGGGGAGTAAGAGATGAGACTAGAAAAGCACACAGGATTCACTGACACCATGCAACGTACTTTTATAGAGTTGTCTTGCACCAGCTAAAGTGTGACAAACTGATCTGATCATTTCTACTGTCCCGTGATTCAACAAACCTCAAGGCAGATTAAGCATCTGCTGTCAGTTGGTTTTTTTTTCCAGTCAAGTGTATCAACACTTAAGAGTCAGATGATATCTCCCTTTAGTAGCTTCTTCCACCTACCAATTCACAGTCCACTGACTTCCTGAGCAACAGACCCCACAACTATTCAGACACGAATGATGAAACCACAAGAAGTCCCGCAGCAGTTAGCACAACTGAAACAAATGACCCATGTGACTTGGTTCCTAACTTGCTGTGAGTGACTTCTCCCATGCACTCAGCTTTAAAAAGCTACTTCTTACTACCTTTGCGACTTCTGTACTAAATAATGTCCCGCATAAGATGACACAGAGAATGTAAGGTAAATGAAAAATAACTTCTCAAAACACTGAAAGTTGTAATTTTAAGCAGGCAGGTACAGTACTTATATTTTCCGATCTTAATGTAAAAAGCATGTCACATCTTCCCTTTATTGTTAACATTATCACCATTTTGATGTTTCATTACAAACTGGATTAATTAAATGCATTTAAAATGTAAACTCTGTTATATGACTAGAGCTTCCAACTGCTAAACATCTTCCAAGGTGGGATATTAAGCACTAATTCACAATTTTAAAACCACTAAGTTTGAAACTTGCTGCAGATTTAGAGCCCATACAGTAAGGTCCTATTCAACAGCATGGTACTCCATCTAGAATATTCTATATAAATATTTGAAAACTCATTGAATGGTAAAATGTGCAATAGTGTCAACTGCAAGTAAAGCTCACCGGTTCTGAAATGATTTGCCAGCAACGTTGTCTCTGTATGAATCAAACATAACATGATACTGGTCTCTACTCCACTCCAAGACAACCTGCAAAGAAAAAAAACCAAAGTAGTAACACTTGATGACACCACCTTCTAAAATTAGACACTTAAATTTCTCATTTTGAAATGTTTAAATACGATAAATTTCATTCAAATTGATCTATGCATTTATGTGCAACTGACCAATCTTTAATCAAGACACTGAGCCAGCAATCAGACCCAGAACTTAAGAGCACACTTGATTAAAACAAACTTTGTTTTTTCTCTGCAAGAAAGGATTCCATGCTTTACAGACACACTTTTTAAGCTACTATTAATTTAGGTTACCTCCCCCTTGTCTCTTAGCCTTTAAAAATTCAGGAATGTTTTCCCAAATCTAAGACCTAAACCAAATATATTTCAATACAAGCAGGAAAGCCCAACCCCCACGCATAATTTTGCTTGTCTTCCTTTCAATTCTCATACAGGCCATATTGAAGTATACACACTTTTGGAATCTGAGCTTTGCAAACAAACAGCCAGGCAAGGGCATATTAAATTATGCAGACTGACCTGGTCACAAACTTAAAACACAATAGCTATTTCCCAATACAGGTGGTGTCTTACATTGCAGCCAGACTAGCCCAACAACAAAGTATTTCTGCAGGCTGCAGCCTCTCTTCCACCCCCCTGCATTTCTGCCACCCTCCTTTAGCTTGAGAGGAGTTCACCCGACCCTGCAGTCAGCCAAGTCATGGAGCTAAACCAACATACAAAGATGAACCTTAAAAACCAAGAGCACTTGAACTTCCTCTAGTTGGTTACTGGAGCAGATCAGAAATGGTGGAACACGCATCATCCAGCCATCAAGGCTGCTTAGTTAAAAGGTCAAGCTGTGCCTCACTTAAATGGTCCTCACCAGCCGTCCCTGGTCCTGGGCATTTTCACAAAGGAGCTATATGGGAAACCAATCACAAGCCAATTCTTACTTTGGAAAGCTGCAACTTTACATTCTGTTTCCATTCTTAAATGTACATATATATACACACACAAAACAAAAGCACTTAGTTATGTTTGATTACTAATGAAGTATCTAACATCATGGTTCTAAACAGAAAAAAAGAAAAATAGGCTTTTCAACACTAAAAATGCTTAATATGCTTTGGTATAGCAAAAAAGTTGTTTAAGAGTAAAAGTAATTTAAGATAAAAGTAGTATAAAACATTCAGGTTCTACTCCAAGATGAACTTGCTATGATATCTTTTACAGTGGAAGTCCAACCTTAAAAACTACAGTAGCATCCTGTGCTGCTTTAGAGATGAAGGTGTGGTGGCTTATTTTACCTGGATAAGTACGTATTTATATACACTAGAGAGGAAAAAAAACACCAGGAAAGGATAGTACTTACTTTATAACAGTCATCCTAGATTTAAATTTTACTATTGCTTATTTATTTTATTACAGGAACTATGAAATATGCCATTTCTCTAAGACAGCATTCAAAACCATAACATACAGACTTCCTCCCTCCCTTTCACGAAGATACACATCTCTATGGCCTCATGCCTGCTGAAGCAAATTAAACCCTTCTAGAGAGCAGGGAGGCCCCATCATCTGTCTGGATGACAAGCACACCCACAGTTCCTGACAAAGCTGCCAACGGTCTCTTTGTAACCAAGATCATATCTGTGCAAGTTCATTCCCCTTACACAAAGGGCACATGATTTCCCAGGTAAGCATAAAATCTCCTCCCTTAAATACCAAAATCAGGAACTGTCTTAAAAACACACTATCACACTTTTTCATGCGCAAGTCACTAGTCCTTCTGCCAAATACACAAGCTTAACGCAGTGCACACCAGAAGATACCCAGGCAGAAACATTTGCTACAAATGATAATGATGAATTGACACACGCTGATATGCTTCTTGAAGAAATACAGAAGTATCTGAGTAAGAATGTAATTTATTATATGAATAACACAGCTCTCCAGAATAAAAACATTAACCATTCAAGCATGTGCTTTTTTATAACCAAAAAGACCCTCTTAAAGACTCTCTTTAAAAAACATTTAGGAAAAATGATAAGCTCTTCCCATTTAATACATTTTTTTCCTATAACTGTTTCCTCCAACAGTATTTGTGTTGCAACAATGCCTGGAGGCCACTTTGCTTCAACTTTACATACTGATATTAGAAAACCACTAAGGAAACAACATTTAAAAAAGGGGGAGAGACGCCCTCTATTAGGAGCTACTGTATCAGACAGGTGGTAACAGTGGCTCTGGCATGTTCCTGTTATAAAACATTTTGCAAAGCTGTGCGACCTACAGAAGGACAGCCGAGGGGGGTTTAGAACCAAATTGTCCTAAACCCAAAGCGCATCTTATGACTAGGTTACAGCACTGACTTAAATCTGGCTGCCCTGTATGTTTTTGCAGAAACACTCCTGAATCATGCTCAACGCACTGTTACTTCACTGAACTCAAGTTTGTTCATTTGTTTTTTTCTTGAAATCAAGCTCATTTTCACCTTGAGGCTGTGAGGATGTCATTACCAATCTCAAGTTATTTGCCCCCAGCCATACATTTTTATGCCAGTATTAATATGCGTATTAGCATGAATCTAAGCAAGCAGATCTAATTTTTACCTACTGGAATGAAAAAATTGTCTTTGGAGGTGGGGAAAAAGCAGACCTGCAGGGTCTGATAAACACTGCCTCACATTGCTTCTTATTGCTTGGCAGATCCCGGTAGATTGTTAAAAATGGTTGACCTGATAATTACTAGAAAGATTTCTGGTTTCATTTTCAAAACTATCTTATATATTTTTATTAGTTACTGCGTTGCAGACTCTGCACTGAAGAAGTGTTTTCCATTCCCACTATAGTTGTTAAAAAGTTTTAATGCCGTTCACAAGCCTAGTCACTCCTAAATCCTTAAACTACCACTGTTTACCAAAACACAACACTGTAAAACATAAAGAGCAAAATGCATGCAAAGATCTCCTACCGTGCTTCTGTATGGTCATTGCATAAAGGGTGGGGGTTTTGGTGTTTTGTTTTGTTTTGCATTTTTTAAACATTCCTGGTCACTTCCCTCCCCCTCTTAACATACAATTTTGAAAGTTTACTCCTCCATGAATCTGCCAGTTCTTTGCTCACTGTCTAAATAGTACCTAAGCTTTCTAAATAGCTCTAAAAGGGCTAGAAGTAGCAAACTAAGATTTGGTAGGAAAATAATTCTGAGCAGTGATTCTGATTGATTCTCAGTGAAAACAGCCATAACCTGGACAACTAGTAAGGTGTTTTAAAGAACCTTCAAAGTACTAAGGAATCCCAAAGTTGGGCTTAAGTCCCCATTCTGAAGAAAGGCAAAAGTATACTCAAAGTTTCACAGCACCAAGAGCTATACATCAATCCAAGTTGATAATCATGTACAAACAGGTGCCTAAGAGTGCTAAAGAACTAATTAATTAGCTGATGGCTTTCAAGTGTTTCAGGAACTTGTGAACCCTGCAAGACAGCAGGGATGAAGTACTTTAAGCAAAGAAGATGTACAGATACACAAAACAAAGTTCTGATTGTGCTACACTCAAGAGTTTCAGATAATACTCTTTATGGCTCTTCATTCTTTTTCTGTATCTGAAAAAGCCTATCAAAATAAAATGGAGAATTAAAAAAAAAAGGACAAAAAAGAGAATAATTTAGGAATCAGGAAATTCCAGTCTGTTTGTATTTAGCACTGACATCCTTTTACACTGGCAAAAATACTTTCTTTAATTCCCTGAATACTTACTATATTCTCAAACCCTACACTGAAGCAGGACTGTTTTTCCCCCTCCAGATTCTTTCACTGATGGCTTCCAAAATAGATAGGGTAATATGAAATGAAGCTTTAAAATATATATCTGTATAAAATCACGTATAGAAAAATTGGAAGCTATATTACATCATTTAACAAAGTAACAGACAAACGCGAGTAATAAACAGCGAGCAATGCAATACAGACTCTGCTGAGCTGCAGACAGCTTGGAGAGGAGCTGCATTTAACTCCTTACGCGCAGGAAGGGAGAAAGATGCTGTCACTCTGGGGTGCCATTTGAAGGTTACATCCAGCACAAGCTTTAGAACAGTCAAACAGGAAAAATAAATAAATGCAGCACTAATAAATCACCTGATAAGGGCGGTGGAAAAAATTGCACAGGACAAGAAGACCCGAGCTCCCGAGGACGCAGATTTTTCTCAGCTCCCCTCTGCCAGGGCCGGCCAGGGCTGTCAGAAACCACCCAACAGCCCCCGGGGAGCCCTTCTGGGCCGCGCTGAGGGTGGCCGGGCCAGGGCGCGAGCGACAGAGCCCCGCAGCCCCGGCGGGCCTACGG